ACCCATCCCAGCTCCGCCTGGGCAGAGGCCCAACACCTCTTACCTGTCCTTGCACGATGGCCTTCAGGAGAGCTAGCACTGCATGCCGGGCCTCTGGTGGCCGTTCCGGCTGCAGCAGGTCTGCGACAGCCTTCCAGAGTGCTTCCACTGCATGCTGCCACCAGCAAAGAGGGGAGAGCGATCACGGTGTGTTGACCCCTCAACTCCAGAGCAAAGGGCAGGGCAGAGCAACAGGGTCTTTTGACTTAGATCTTGTGCCACTAAAGCCCACATCCCGAGTACCTGTCACAGCCCACAGTGACCATGAACCTGATAAAATAGCTCCAAGCTACTTCAAAACCCTCACCAGGCCACAGGCTAGAGGAGGGAGGAAGGCATGCAGGAGAGAGCAGCTGTCCTGGATGCCTCAAGAAATCACATGGAGTCCCCCTCACAGCTTCCTCACTCTGGTGGGAAAAATCACTAGAAGAGTCTCACAACCAGAAGCACCGCAGTGGTCCCTTGGCCTGCAGAGTGACTCAGAAATCCATCGTCTGGCTTCCCTCTCATAAAGACACTGGCCCAGCCCTGGCTGGGTAGCTCAGCTGGTTAGAGAATCATCCTGATATGCCAAGGCTGCAAGTTCAAACCCCAGTCAGAACACATACAAGAAGGAACCAATAAATGCATAAATAAGTAGAACAACAAATTGATGTTTCTTTCTCTCTTTCTCTCAAAATTAAAAAATATATATAGTAGCCCTGACCGGTGTAACCAGCATCATCCTGCAGAGTGAAAGGTTGCCAGTTCAATTCCCAGTCAAGGCACATGCCTAGGTTGCGGGTTCGGTCCCTGGTCAGGGTGCATTTGAGAGGCAACCAATCGATGTTTCTTGCTCACATCAATGTTTCTCTCCCCCTTCTCCTCTCTCTAAAAAATAAATAAATATTTTTGAAAATAAAATATAATAAAAAATAAAAATATATATTAAACACACCAGCCCAGCCACGGGCCACTCAGTACCACACCCCTGCCCCACCTCTGCTGCCCTGCATGACCTGCCAAGAACTCTATGTAAGCTTCTGGAATTTGCCTCCTCTAAGTCTACCTAGCCCATGGGAGACCTGGCTCCTGTCCCCTACAGCTACTCAAAATCAGTCTCTCTTATCACCTTCCCTTCTCCACATTAACCATCCCAGACTCCCTTCAACCAGCGTTTTCAGACTACTCACCCTTTCTGAGCTCGCTCACTCTTAGGAGCAGGATTAAAATGTCTTTCAGATGTCTGACCAATATTCTGACCAACTCAAGATACGCTAAAACTTGCACTTCCTTTGTCCTATTTACAATACTCATATTGATGCAACCAAAGCCACAACAAAACAGATACCAAACTTGTAGGCTATCCCAGCCTCTAAGGCCCATCTATCTATTCACATGACCAGCAGCTCAGCCCCATCTCACCTTTCTGTACCTACAGAGGCAACTTTATGAACACAGAGATGCCTATGTTCACATTCCTCCTTGGTGATGTGCAGCTTGCATGCTTCAGATGAGCTGCTGAGGATGCAGCGGTCACTCTCCCTGTTAGCAGATCTGAATCTGTTACGTGTGAGGTCCGTATCTCCCCCGCCACCCCCAGTCATTCACACAAATGCTGTGAGAGGCTGGAGCAGAGAAGTGCGCTAATGATAACTTCCCACTCTGTCCACAGGACGTCAGGAGAGAGCCCGGAAACACTTGGCTGAAACAAATATGCCTATATCTGTAAGGCCACTTGAAACCACTGACCACCTCTCCCAAAACGACACTGAGACAGACAGGTGTGCCTGGAATTGTTCTCTGTGAAACCATACTTTTCCCCGACACTCCTCTATTTTTTTCTTCCCCTGAATCTGTAATAAAAGGACAAGTAAGAATGCATTTCTCTTTGTTTTTTTAAGCATGCGTTCCTGTAAACCACTATAAACCTTTTCTCAGATCTCCTAGAAAAGGCTTAATCTCTGTTCCCTACCTCCACATGTGATTAGTTCCTCAGGGTTGTGTTCAGGGCATTTTAAGAAGTTTCTCCATAGCTAAGATAAAAATTAAATCCCTAAAGTGGTGTTTTAGTTCATTAGCAAAGTTAGCTATCAACCCTCCTCCTAGAAAGAGCTAAATCAGGCTTCTGAACAGCTCACGTGCATTCCTCCAGTAGCCCAACCAACACAGGCTTACCTCTTCAAATTTCTTCGTTTTTGCAACTTCAGAGATCTGCCCTATCACCCGAATGCGATTGTTGAGGCCACATTCAACACTCAGTTCCTGGAGAAAGTAAAAGAAGGAAAAGGGGCCTGTGCTCAGACAACAGGTCTCCTTAACTGCCAATCACTGACCACCCTAAGAAATGTACTTGTATTTCCTACTCTGGAGACTTGCAGCAGACCTTTCTGAAACCGGGCATTACCAGTTTACTACCCCATCTCCACTGAGTGAGAACAGACTTTTCTTTTCCATCACTACACTTTATTTTTGCGATAACATTCACATCACATGAAACTCACCACTTTAAACCATATAATTCATTTTTTAGTATATTTACAACGCTAGTAACCACCTCCATAATTACAGCACATTTTCATTACCTCAGAAGGAAGCCTCACCCTAGCAGGTGTGGCTCAGTGGATTGAGCACCGACCTGCAAACCAAAAGGTCGCCAGTTTGATTTCCAGTCAGGGCACATGCCTGGGTTGCAGGCCAGGTCTCCTGGTTGGGGGTATACAAAAGGCAACCGACTGATGTTTCACTCTCTCACTTTCTCCCTCCCTTCACCTCTCTCTAAAAGTAAATAAGTAAAATCTTTAAAAAAAAAAAAAAAAAAAAAGAGGAAACCTCACACCCTGTAGCAGTCACTCCTCATTCCTTTCTCCACCCAGGTCCTGGCAAATGCTTTCTGTCTCTATGGGTTTTCCTATTCTTAATGTTTCATATAAATGAAATCATGCATTATGTAGGCCTTTGTGATTGGTTTCTTTCTCTTAGCATGTTTTCTATCGAGGGTTTTTTTTCTCTTAAGATTTTATTTATTTTTAGAGAAAGGGGAAAGGAGGAAGAAAGAGATGGAGAAACACTAATGTGTGGTTGCTTCTCGCATGCCCCCAACTGGGGACCTGGCCCGCAACCTAGCCATGTGCCCTGACTAGAAATCGAACCAGCAACCCTTTGGTTCTCGGGTCAGTGCTCAATCCACAGAGCCACACCAGCCAGGGCTCCTAGCATGTTTTCATGCTAAGTAATGATACATGTTGCAACATGTATCAGTGCTTCATTTCTTTTCTTGACAAGTAATAGTCTTTTATATTGATGCATCACATTTTGTTTATAGCTGACCCTTGAATAACGCAGATTTGAACTGAGGATCCACTTACAAAGGGATGTTAAAAACCTGCATTTAAGGACACTTGACTTGGTGAACGCACAAAACAATATACAGATAATGTATTACAGAATTGTACACCTGAAACCTATATGTTATTATCCAATGTCACCCCAATGAATTCAATTAAAAAATAAAAATAAAAATAAACTGAGTTTAAGTGGACCTGTGCAGTTCAAATCTGTGTTACTCAAGGGGGAACCCACGAGCTGATGAACGTGTATTTTGGGTGTTTCTGAATGGGACACTTTAAAAGTGCAAAAATTCAGCATTTATTTATAGGCAAAGCATGGTGTCAGGAACGGGGTAAGGAAATTCAAACAAAGACAAAAACATAAAGGCTTCTCATAGGGACTCACAAGTTATTGGTAAAAACCTGGCCATAAACCTAATCATCACCTGTGGAGACCATGGAATTCAGGTCCCATACCTAAAATAGGTTTTCTTGCATCAGCATCTGAATACTAATTCATGTGCAAAACCAAGTCACCAAGATCCGGACTTCCTGAATCTCCACAAAATATATGTAAGCTTCTGTGGTACTGGGGACAGCAGCTCCATGCAGACTGTTCCAGCAACGCATCTCCCACAGAACCTGTTGACAAATGAAACCCAACCTTCCTTGCACTTCCCCTGAGGCCAGCAGGGAAAACACAGGCAGCTCACTCACTTTCAGGATCTCCGCTGTGATGACAAACTCCGTCTGTTTGCCCTCTGCAGACTTGGGATTTGGTCTTGGAGTTCCCAGTCCCAGAAGAATCTTGAACTTCTCCTTCAAGCCTGAATCTTTGCTTGTTGGCTTGGCCATGGTGGGCAGAGGCGCACCCGGGGACTCCTCTGCGCGGAGAAGAGGCACAGAGGTCTCAGAAAGAACTCCACACACCTGCCCCTGTGAACCTATAGCCATCAGGGAACCCTAGCTCTCTGATGAGCACCTTTCCTCCCACGACCCTTGGGGAAAACTCAACCGCAGCCACGTTGTCCAGGCCAAAAATAAAGCTGGGAAACGCCTGGCCGCCGCCCCTGACTAAGTGCATGGGATGAGGGAGGGGAATTGGGGGCGAAGTATAGAGTAGCGGCGGGGCCCAGGAAGCCTTGACATTAGCCATTTTTCTCCTACATTTATGAATGAGGACTCTCGGAGGGGCGCCGGAAGCAGGGACCCCCTTTCACCCGCCGTGACTTATAACCAAGGAGGGCTTGGAGCTCCAGGGCCAGGCTAAGGTGGGCGCGGCCTAGACCCGGACCCGGGCCACTGTGGGGTTCGCCCCCGCCGCCTCATCACCGAGTAGGCCCGGCGTAGCTGCCTCCCCTCAGCCCTGCAGGGGTCGCACCCGCCGCGGTGTGGGCCAGCACCAGCGGTCAGGGCTCCTCAGGCCACTCACTTCGAACGGCGGCTACTGCGCGCCGGGCCGTCCAGGCGCAGAGCAGGGAGCACACCCCCCGGGCTACGAGCTGCCGCCGGAAGCACGCACTTCCGTCGCAGATGACCCAGGGCCACCGCACGGACTGCTGGAAGTCGTAGTTCTGAGCTTCCCTCAGCAGAAAGACCCATTGAGTGTCGAGTCACATGACAGGGCCGCGAAAGCCGCCGGGATGTGTAGTCCGCAGTTCAGCATGAACTACGCGGGCATGAGGATGATGACCCGCAGCCAGAGCCGGGGACCGGGGTCTGGGCCGCTAGGGAGTGGGGAGGCGGCCGCGCCGATCCAAAGGGGAGAGGCGTCTGCAGGTAGCGCCACGACCGGGCTGGGGAAAGGAAAGAGCAGGGAGGGACGGCAAGGGGCTGGGGGCTGGGAGCTGGGGGCTGGGGGCTGGGGGCCGGGGTCCCGGGTGCCCACGAGGGCTCCGCGCCGCTGGTGCTGGGACCCGGAGGCAAATGCAGCGGACCCGGCAGCAGCGAGTCAATCCTTCGTCCCCACGTGCAGTTGGGTTCCCACCTAGCGCCCTGTTCCCAAGAGGCAGGAGCAGGTGACCACAGGGGTTGGTCCCAGGCACTCACACCTCCTCCCACACTGCTTCTGAACAAGGACAGTTTCCCCGTCCCACTAGCCTGCCCTGGGATGTTCCACTTGTGCCAAGCTATCTGTGGGGCAGACTGGCCCTGTTCTCATTGCTGCTTACCTCTCAGAGAAGACGGGTGCCAAGGATACCCCTAGCCAGAAGTCCTCTTGCTAGAGGGTACCTCTGAGAGAAAAGAGGAAGCAGTATGACCTTCATTATGTCTATCCTGTAGTCATTAAGGACTTACTAGGTACCTTACCTACCAGGGCCTGAGCGGGAAGGAGACTGACAGGGTCTCAGCAACTTGTCCTACCGTGATTTCTGCAAGAATGGCCAGAGGAGGATTCCCGTAGGCACCCAAGGACTCCAGGCATAGTACAGAAAAGAAGAGCCTCTAGGACAGAAGCGGGATGAGAGGAACTGGGGCTGGAGGGAATAGGCAGGTGACAAGTCCAGCCAGGTAGGCAGGAGCTTTGATACCAGGTTAGAGTTTGGAGTTCATTATAAGTACAAGGAAAAACCAATGAAGACTTTTTTTTTTGAAAGATTTTATTTATTTACTTTTAGAGGGAGGGAAAGGGAAGGAGAAAGAGAGGAAGAGAAACATCAATGTGTGGTTGCCTCTCACACACCCCAACCAGGGACCTGTCCTGCAACCCAGGCAAGTGCCCTGACTGGGAATTGAACTGGCAACCCTTTGGTTTGTAGGCTGGCACTCAATCCACTGAGCCACACCAGCCAGGGCCCAATGCAGACTTTTAAACAGGAGGTGACGCAATCCGATTTTGATCTTACAAAGTTCTCTGACAATGTGGAGAGTAGATTAGGGGACATAATGGTGGAGGCTGTTACCAGAGTTTTTGTGTGTTAACTTGGCCCTGGAGTGGCCGGGGAAGTGGCTCAAGGAAGGCTGACCTGCCCTGGAGTGTACGCTACAGAGGACAGAGCACCCCTAGGTGTAGCAGGTGATGGACGCTTATTGAAGGAAAGAATAGTGAGAGCTGAGAGAGCAGGTAGCGCAACATTTTATCCTTATCTGTGCCTCCACTGAAGGGACCAAGTGGCATTATCTTGCAGAAGGAAGGAAAAGCTACCACCCTGTTAAGCGTCAGCGGAAAGCACAAAGCCTGAATGTGGCCTACGAGGCCTCAGATGGTGAGAAAGCAGAGGGGACCAAACCACTCAAGGTGCCAAGCTGGGAGCCTCAAGACTGGCAGCAGCAGCTGGCAAACATCCGCACCATGAGGAGTGGGAAGGATGCACCTGTGGACCAGCTGGGAGTTGAGCACTGCTATGATCCCAGAGTGCCCCCAAAGGTAGGCAGGGGGCCCATCTGCCTGGTGACCCCCTTCTGAATAAGATGCTTGTTTCCTTTCAGGCCTGTGGCAGGGCACAGCCTGACATCTGACAGCTCTTGGCTGGCACCACCCTGAGAAGATGCACACCTGAGGCCCAGAGCACTGGCCAGTATCATTTGCTTTATCATGGCCACTCAGTAGGTCACCTGTGGCTTGGGGTCTCATGCTCTGTCTTCTGCCAGCACTCTGCTAGATTATAAGGGACATTCAGTAAGTTTGCTGATAGAGAAAGAATTTTTTGCACTTCCCTCGCCCAGAGCCTGGTCCTTTGACCAACATGATTCTAATCCCAGCTCTGCCACCAGCTGATTGGGTACATGCCTCTTTGGGCCTCAGTTTGCTTGTTTGTAAAATGGGTGGTAGCCTCATTTACATAGTAATAACAATAACAGCCAGTGGTTGCTGTACTGACATTGTGCTAGATACAAGTCTAAGTGCAGTAACAATTCATTTAAGCCTCACAGTGATTCTGAGAAGCAGGTGCTATTATTTTCCCCATGTTATAGATGAAAAACAGGCCCAGGTCAGACTCCACACACCTCCCCGCATTGGCCGGGGTGCGTAGGAGGCTGACATCCCATATGTTCCCAGGTGGGTAAAGGGCTTGGCTAGGGCCTGGCCCATAGTAAGCACCCAGGACCCACCACCATTCTGGTCCCTGTCACTAAGAGCAGGTGCAGAGATACCAGGTGCTTCTGTCACTGATGCTCTCCAGCCAGACCAAAGATCAGGTGACAGCGGGTGCCATGAAGCGGCTGCAGGCCCGGGGCCTAACAGTGGACAGCATCCTGCAGACAGACGACATCACGCTGGGCAGACTCATCTACCCTGTGGGCTTCTGGAGGGTGAGCCCACCCTGAGGTGACCATGGCCGGGGCTGCTACTGGTCTGGAGGAGACATCAGGTGCCTAAGGGGGGCTCTGGGGGTGCAGGAGACCAGATAGGACGTTTGTGGCCGCAGGCGCCTGGATGTGAGTTCTCACTGGAGCCCCCCGCCCCTCTGAGCAGTCCTCAGTGGGCCAGGCAGGCGGGTGAGAGTAGGCCCTGGAGCTCCTTGGCTTTTCCTGTTTGCAGCCCACCCCTTCCTTCCTCCACCTCCCCGCCCTGCTGCCTGGCCCTTCCCTTCCTCACTGAGGCTGCCCACCCACCTTTCCCTTTGTTTACTCTAAGCCTCCCCGGAGTGTGTCACCCCTTCCCTTACAGAATCTCAAGAGGCCACAGCACAGGATTTTGGGTGGGCAGATCTGGTGAAAGTAGCCAGGCGGGCGTGGCTGCTTCCCTTAGGCAGTGGTGTGGGTTGCAGTGTGTCAGATGGGTTTTAAATAGCCCTGTCTGCTCAGGCACAGGATGGGAACCACCCAGCTGGCCTGGCGGCTAGCAGGGAACCCCAGGCTCCAGCCTTCCTTCCTGAAAGCCCAGGTGCTGCTGAACCCAGCTCCTGGCATGGCTGGCCTTGCTTAGCCTGCCCGTCCTCTAGGGGTAATAATGGGGTCGGGAGGAACCCAAGCTGGACCCCACAGACATGTCATTGGCCCAGACAGGTGGGAGAGAGGGGTCCATGCCTGCATTGAGCCGTCTTCAGGCTGCCTGCTGCCCTTGGTTCATTCTTACTTCGTGGGGAGACAGGAGCAAGCAGGTTGCTTCTGAGTATGTCCTGGGCAGGTGACAAGCAGCTTTGGGCACCTGTGGTTCTCCCTTGGGCCTTGTCCTTCCAGGTTGGACCCTATGTCCTACCTCCAGGACTGACCCCCCCCCTTCTCCCCATCTTACAGAACAAGGTCAAATACATCAAGCAGACCAGTGCCATCCTGCAGCAGCACTATGGTGGGGACATCCCAGCCTCTGTGGCAGAGCTGGTGGCACTGCCAGGTGTTGGGCCCAAAATGGCACACTTGGCCATGGCTGTGGCCTGGGGTACTGTGTCAGGCATCGGTGAGTGGCATGCCCCCTGAGGAGGGCGGGGCCAGCTCTGAGCTTGCTGACCACTGTCAGGGTTCCCCACATCCTGTGACCTGTGATCCCAACTCAGGTCTCCTCATCCACAGCTCAGCCCAAAGGGTCAGAAAGATGTTCCCAGCACTGAGCAAGGCCTGTCTCACCCAGAAATGGGTACCAGCAGGAGGAGCTCCCATTTGCTGAGCTATTTTGTGCTGGGCTCTGGTGATGGACTCGGGGATGGACTCAGGGTATGTGCTACCTAAGGGAGAGAGACATTGCACAGTCCTTACTGGCAGAGTAGAACCATGATGCGGGTGTACATCTGGAAAGACTTCCTGAGGAAGTGATAACTCAGCCAAGAACTGAAGGGTGAGGGGTGGGGCAAGAGGATGAAATGTGTTCCAGGCAGAAGAGCAGCATCTGCAAAGTCACCAGGTGGGAGAAGGCCAGAAGCAGGAGGCTCTGGAATGAACGTGGGGAGATTGGGGTGGCGCTGTGAAGGCAGGGGGCCCAGGGAGAGGAGGGATAGGCTAGGGGAATGGGGTCGAGGGGAGGAGCCCCTTCCTGGAATCCTTTTCCTGGGTCCAGGCCTGACATCCTGTCTTCAGAGGATTGCTGTGCGGAGACAGACCCTGGGTCAGGTGCACTGGCTGTTTTCTAAGGCTTTGTCCAGAGAGTTGGGGCTTCTGAGGCCCTAGCAGCAGGCCCAGCCAACCCAGAAACCAAGGCGTGACCTATGACCTCTGTGCTCCCCAGCCCTTTGCCTCTCAGGGTTTCGTGCAGGGGAAGCTGGGAGGGGGTGGGTATGCCCCCAGCTTCTGCAGCTTGTGAAGCCTGCCCCCTGGGGTGGGGGCCTGTTTCTAGCACTGCCCATGAATAGGAAGGCAGCTAGGGATGGCAGCCCCAGAAAGCCAGAACCAGGTCAAGGAGGGGCTAGGGCAGAGCCTCCCCCGACCAGGGCTCCTGAATATGCCAGCCTCTCAGCAGATACTTGAGCTTATCTGGGTGGCTGTCCTTAGCTGCTCTTTTCCAGGAGTGGTCTGGCAGGTCTGTGGTGAAGGGCCCCCTGCCTACTACCCTGACAGGACAGGGCTTGGAATAGCACACAGCAGGCAGGAGCATCAGAATGTCATCCTTCCTGGTTGTCTATGGGCCCTGTCACCTGTAGGGAGACCCTAGGGAGTGTAGGACTTGCCTCCCAGGGGCTTCCCCAGAAGCCCCCTCAATAAAAAAGCGGATCCCAGCTCTGCCACCCCACCTGGGTGACCTTGGGCAAGACACTTGGCCTCTCTAACTTATGGCCAAAAAGCAGGGAAAGCAGTTGACCTGGACCGGCCCACAGGAGGTGTGTGGCGTGGCCCTAGGCTGGGCCTCTGGGCGACAGGGAGCATGTTGGGGAAGAGGAAACTGAACCTGGGGGAACCACGGCTTGTTAGCAGCAGGGGCGGATGCTGACGCAGGACTGGCTTTCTCTTTGACAAACAGGCGGAGGGGGAGGCAGGGACTACAGGAGCTGGGCGATCAGGGGCCCGGGCCGAGCCCTGGGGTGACCTGCGAAGGGGAGCAGGGGCTGCGGTCCAGGGAGATGAGAGCCCCAGCAGGCCTGGCTGCACTTCGCGCTTTGCCCTTTACAGGTGCTGCCTCTGTAGGCAATGGCCTCATGCTGGCACCCACAGCCAGTAGCTGGGCCAAGAGGCACTGCCCTCTGTGCCCCAAATGCGGGCCCAAGCCCTGTGGGTTCTGGCTACAGGCCCTGCCCAGTAGTGGGGGTGGCCTGATGACCCGCTCTCATGTCTGTGGCCAGTACTGTGCAGTTCTCGACCCTCCTTAGAAGCTCCATGTGGAAGGCCAGGGAGACTCCGGGCTGCCCACCAGCCTGGGTTGAGGGTAGGGCCACGGGCAGGAATGAGCTGGTCTCCTAGCGTGTCCCATGTTCACCCCGTCCTGTCTCCAAGCAGCAGTGGACACACACGTGCACAGAATCGCCAACCGACTTGGGTGGACTAAGAAGGCAACCAAGTCCCCAGAGGAGACCCGTGCCGCCCTGGAGGAGTGGCTGCCCAGGTGCTATGGCAGGGGCAGGAGGGGGCTCCCCTCCTTCCATCCCTCCCTCCCTCTGCATTAACTCATTCCCACCCCCACAGGGACCTGTGGAGAGAGATTAACGGACTGTTGGTGGGCTTTGGCCAGCAGATCTGCCTGCCTGTCCGACCACGATGCCAAGGTTGCCTCAACCAGGCCCTGTGCCCAGCTGCACGGGGACTCTGAAGGCCGTGTCTGTTCTGTGACTTCACTGGGGAGCTGTCGCCTATTCAAAATAAAGTTTGGGGGTTTGCAACAGTTGGGATCCGACTCCTGCCTTTGGTCGGGTATGTGAGCTTCATGTTCCGTTACATGTCTGGAATGGGGTTGCCTGGGGGGCCAGGATGTGGACGTGACAATCTGGGCTGTGTACATTGGGGGTGGAGGGTGCAGGGGCCCAAACTGAAGAGACAGATCATGGGAGCCAGCTGTAGCCTGCTGCTGAGAAGCCTGCTGGGGACGCCGGAGGCCTAGGCTTCCTCCCTTTCTCGGCAGCTGGCTGGGGGCCCAGAAACACCCCCTCTCCTGAACTTGTACCCCCTGAAAGCCTGGCCTCCACCAGGAGGCCCCACCCCCAGTGCTTACAGAGCCACCTGGTCTCCAGAAGAATATTGGGAGGCCCAGGCTGTGTGCCACAGGGCAAGAGGCCTGACCTTTGTGAACCTGCTGGGAGAGGGGTGCTGTACCAGGGGTGTCAGGGGCCCAGAAAGCTTCACGGGAGGTGCCCGCAAGGGAGCGAGGCCTCAGCGGGCAGAGGAGGTGGGCAAAGGCCTCAGGGCCCCAGAGGGTGAGAGGAGGGCAGGACTCCCACGCGGGCCGGGGCAGAGGGAAGAGGGAGGAGGAACAGAAAGGAGTTGAGGCTTGGCTACCAGGTGGATGGATTCAGAGAGGGGAGGTTTAAGAACAAGACCCAGTTTCCAGCAGCTGAGACTTGGAGAGGGGGAGGCCAGGCTGCTGTCTTCCTGCCTGGACCACCATCCCCCACCCCGAGGGCTCAGGAAGGACAGAGGCAGCCAAGGGTCCGAGGAAGGCCTGTTTATTCTAAGGGCGCAGATGCGCTATGGCTTACAGGGCAGACAGCAATGCTGGGTTTCAGGGCAGTCATGGCAGGTCCTGGGGGAAGGCTTCAGGCAGGGGCTGAGCTCAGCTGGGAGTCATTCCTGGGGTAGCCTCTAGCACAGCCACACTCCCCAAGCGTGGGGGCTGTGGCGCAGGAACAAGGGGCCTATCCAGAAGCTGCCCTCTTAGGGGCAGGAGGCCTCCATCCTTGGGCCCCATGGAGAACGCAGGCCCTGTGCCCCAGACCCCTGGTGTGGGGACATAGAGGGCCTCAACTAGTGAACCTCCACGCCACAGAAGGCAAAGATGGAGCTGAAGAAAAGCTCTTACAGCCACATCGGGCCATCCCAGCCTCACCTGAAGCTCCTTCAAACAGCTTGCTTACCCCCTCTTGGTCCCAGGTGTTCCCACCCAGGACGGTTGCTGCCAAGGAGGAGGTGGGGGAGGAAATGATTTGTAGAGAAAGGTTTGTTTTATTGCAATTATTTAGAGAGCACGTCCTGGTGGGGGTGGGGGCTCTGGTATTAAGTGGAAACATATGTGGAGCTGGAGCTCTTTTTGGAAAAAAAGCAAAACCACAAATTCCTCTAAGTCAGCGGGCCCGGGCAGAGCAGCAAGGGCCTGGCCCCTAGGGTCACACCGCTGGCCCTGCCTTTCTCAATGTCTCTCTCATATACTGGGGGCTCCCTCTCCCCAATCTTGCTGCCACATTCCCTCAGCCCCCACGGCAGAGGGCTCAGACAGGGACTCACTGAGACATGGGTTGGTTCTTGGGTGGTGGTGGTACCACCATGGCTTCTGCGGGTGAGGACGCGCCTCTTCCAGTCCACTGAGGCTTGGGGAGCTCTGGTCTGGACCCAAGGGGCGAGACCCAAAGTCCATGCAGGGAGGAGGCCCAGGTCCAGCAAGTGGGAAGGGAGGGGCTCAGAAGTTGCTGAAGATCTCTCGCTTCCGATTCCAGTCCATCTGTGGCGCCCGTTTGTTGACCCGGGTGGCTCTCGCCTTCTCTTTGGCCTCAGCTGCCGTGGGGCTCAGGTGAAGGCCACTCTCCTGAAAAGGGTCGTGCTTCCAGGTGCTGCCGTCCTGGGGGCAGGCAGATGGCTAGAGTGAGCCCTGAACCCAAGCCCCCAAACTTGTGATCCTTCCCAGGGAGCTCACACCAAAAAGACCACCTGGTGGGGCTGAGGTAGCAGGCCCAGGAGGGCTTCCTGGAGGCAGTGACCCCACTGCCCAAGCTGAAAGTTCCACAAGTACCCACCCTAAAGGCCTTTCTGGCCCGCCCCCAAGAGTGTAAGCACAGCAGAGGAGGTGGGTGGACATTCGCTACCTCATTATCCTTGTCTAAGCCAGGTAGATCGCTTCGGGATGAACACGCTGAGCCACCATTGAGCTGGGAAACCAAGGGCAAGGTGTAGCTTCAGGGGCCCTGCCCAGGAGTCACTGGTATACACACACGTACATGCACATACACATGCACACATTAGAGTGGCATTTATTCCTCCATTCGGCAGTGGGTACTAAGCCTCTACTATGCTCCAGGCCCATGGTAGGCAGGACTCTGGACACTAAACAGTGAATAGGCAGGTGGCCCGGCCCTGGCCGACTCACTCAGGGAGGGACAGTTTTAATGCCCAAATCACCCACATGAGCATCCCCTGGGGCAAAGCCAGGGAAAGCTTCCTGAGGAGAGACTGAGACTCCAGGTAGCCAGGCAGTGCTGAACAGAGAGAACAGCAAGGGCGGCAGCCCTTTGGCTGGAGGTGCCTCCCTGCCATGTGGGGCCGGGGTGTGGCTGACTCAGGACAGGAACCACAGGGTGCATTAAAGCTGGGAGTGTCGGGGCCAGATTACATGTCACAACCTCGAAAATACAGAGAGATGGAGGGCTCTGTCAGGCCTGGGACCCCCGAAGGTGCTCCTGTGGTCTCCTGAACCCACCCTGTCCACCTCCACCCACCCTCTCACCTGGGCAGGGCTGGTCCCATTGGTGACTGGTGACGGCAGTGGACCTGTGGAGACAGTGTGTCAATGGCTGCCCGGCGCCCCCTCATTCCACCCCACCCCAGGCCCCCAGGGCAGCAGCCCACCTTCCACATGCTCCTCGGTGGGTGTGACCCGCAGCCTCTTGAAGTGTTCGTCTGTTTCAGGGTCCACTACCAGTAGCCGGGCCTCATCCTCCCGTGCCTTGATGCTGGCGACCACCTCTGCGTGGCGCAGCCCCTCCACATTCTGCCCATTCACCTGCCACCAGCAGCATGGGGACAGCACTGCCTGAGGGCAGGCCCCCACCAGCCCCCCAAGCTGCCTGGCCAGGTGTGGCATCAAATATTCATCAATGTTGTCACCAGCCGCGGCAGCAAGAGGAATGCCAGCTCAAGTTCCCAGAAACTCCCCTCCTCCCAGGGAGGACCTGGGGCCCAGACACAAACGGGGGACACAGGCACAGACATGCATATGGGGGACACAAGCACAGATATGTACACAGGGGGCAATGCACATGGGGCACCTGACACCCCGGAGCCTCGGTGATGGGTACCTCGATGAGTCGATCCTGAGCACGGAGGCCAGAGTGGGCGGCGGGCGAGCCCGGGTCCACCGAGCGAATGTACTGTCCTGGCCGGGACTTGTCACTGTGCAAGTTGAACCCATAGCCCTGGGGTCCTTTTAGCAGGTGGCAGAGCCTGGGGCGAAGCTCCCTTGCAGGCCCATTGACATCCTGCAGAACATGGGACTAAGCGTCAGGCTCCAGCTCTGATCTCTCACCCCCAGAGGCCACCGACACCACCCCAAGGCCTCTGGCCCCCAGTGTGTGGGCACAGCAGTGGCTGTGGGCAGGGGCTACCACTGAGCACAACCCCTCACTGGGCATCAGCCCCTGCCCAGGGGCTGGGACAAACACTCTGCACCCACGCCCGGGGGCCCCATTAAGCTGCCTGTGGCTGAGTTCCAGCTGTGATATCTTGGGCAAAGCCTTAGTTTCTAATCCCCAAAATGACTTTTGATGGGGCCAGGGGCGTTAGGGATGTTGGGAGAATCAACAGGCTCAAGGATCAACAGTGCTTAGCACAGGCCAGGGTCCTAAGAGAGGCCAGGCGAGACCAGCAGCTGCCGCTCATCTTGATGCCCTGGATGGCTGTTCTCATGGGCCCTGCCTGCAAGCCCCGGCCGCCCCCCTCCCTCTGTGAGTGTGGGGCTCGCAGAGTCCTAGGCTTGGGCAGCTTTGTTTTCTCTCCCATAGGGCTGGAAGCAGTGCTACTGTGTTTGCTTTCACATTCCAGAGCAAGCTGGAGCCACCCCCATCTCCACCCCAACCCCCACCAGAGACAGAGGGATGCCGGGCTGGGGCTGCGGGCTGGGGCTGCTTGGGGCTGCGGCAGGAACCCAGAGGGCTGAGGGTGGGGCCTGCCCTCCCCTTTAGGACACAGAGGCCTATGGTGTTCTGAAGGTCCCCCATCAACATCCCAGGGCCCTGCCACGCTTTACCTCTGGCATCCTGCAGTAGGGTTCTGGGCCAGGGAGCTGTGCCAGCAGGCGCTAGGCCCCAGGACCCCCACCCAGCAGGGGCCTGGGGCAGTCAGTGACCGCGGTACTGAGTGGCCAGCGGCTACCGGTGCTCAATTAAACATGGCGGTGGCCGGAGTGAGCAGGCAGGCAGCAGCTCAGGTTTCCCGGGACGCTCGGGGCTCAGGTGCATGTGCAGGTGAGTGTTCGGGGTGGGAGTGCTCACCAGGTCCCTCCCTCACGGTGATAGAGGGACCTTAGGCCAGACTGGGGGTGGCACTGAAGGAAGGGCCTCTCAGCCCTCAGAGAAGGTCTCCAGGCCCCGGGCACTTGCCCCCCAGTGTGACCCAAGCTACCCCCTGGACCACTCCAGCCTCCAGACCTGCAAACTGCTTCCAAACCCCAAATCTGACTGTCAATGTTCTGGCCTGCCAGTTGGTGGCCACCCAGCTGTGGGACCAAGAGCGTCTTTCCTCACAGGGTGGGTTCCTTGCTCCAGGGTCGGGGCTTTCCTACCTGTTGGGAAAACCCTCTTCCTGTCCAGCCTGTGCCCCTCCTCCAAGACCTTTTCTCTAACCCCCAAAGCCTGCTCAGAACTCCCTGGAGACCCCCACTGCAGGCTACCATCTGGCCCCATAATCCCCAAAACTCCAGGGACAGAGCTGCTGCTCTTCAGTTCCCTGGGGGCTGGGCTGAGCAACATGGTCCTCACTGGCGGAGGTGTGAGACTCCAAATTCTCCACAGCCCCACTACACAGATTCATGTCCTCTCCCAGACAAACCTGGAGGTACCGGTGCACAGCTTTGAGGAGGACCTACACCCCCCCAGAGGCACCTCGGGCACAGGCTGTCAGAGTGTGGGCCCCTAAAGCTGACTCTGGGACAGAGCAGATCCAGGGCCAGGGCCATGCATGGAACTTGGAAGTGTGACATGACCACACCTGCAATGTGGACACAGGCCCAGGTAACAGAGGCACGACCTACAGCCAAAGAGACCAGACATCTGAACATAGGCTCACAAACATGCTACAGGACACACAAGGTAGCCCACACCTGTGAGAGGACAGCCCCATGGTACCGGCCCTGTGGCCTCTTCCCACGCTCTCCACGGTAACCTCCAGGGCAGGGTCTGTCAAGGTCCCAAACGGGAAAAGGATTTGGGGGGACAGCGACTTAGGGGGCATCCAGGGCCGTGAGGCCAGGCTGAAGTCACATCCGGACCACACTGGCCGCAACCCAGCACAGCTGCCTCTCATTACACAAGCCATGATGTTTCTCCTAATGTTTAGCCTAAATCCCTCTTCTTACAAGAGCCCAGGTTCTGTGGAGCACCAACCCTCGCACTAGACCCTCAAGTTGAGGGGCTGCAATGCAGTGACCCAGCAGGGCGGCCCTGAGGGAGAGCAAGCAACAGTGGGTTTGGAGGGGGCGCAGGCAGGCCAGCGCATTGCTCGCATTCCTCACTCCCTGCCCTGGCTCAGCGCACTTCCTGCCATCTCCCAGCCAGGCCCTCAGGCTCCCACGGCTCCCGGCAGGGCCGCCCCAGGACGGGACAAGCCCTGTCCTCCCAGCTGTGCCTTTAACCAGACAAAGAGGCTGGCATGGGGGTACCCCAGGAGCCAGGCTGCACCCCCCCACGATGGTGACTCACCAGCCTTGTCAGAGAAAGGCCCCATTGTCATTCAGGGTCCAGCTTGCTCACACCAGGGTCCCCTCTCCTAACCTTGGGGTACACAGGCTAACCTGACTGCTAGGGTTCTCACTGCCCACCCTGCCCCCACCCCACCTAACCTGCGCAAGCCCTAGGGATGGGCTCCGTGGAGGGGCTCCTGGGACCCGGGCAGGTGGTGTGGAATTCCAGGAGTGGGCCATGGAGGCAGGACAGAAGTGGCAGACAGTGAGCATCCACCTGGAGTGGCCTGAGCTCTCTGCCCGGCCCAGGCTGCCACTCCATTTATCCACCTCCCACTGAGACTCAGGCTCCCCAGGGACAGGTGGGGACATGGGGCTGAGTCACTCTGGGGAACAGGGTGGTGGCTGAGCAACCCCCCCCCTTACGGAGGCTCCAGCCCGGCGCCCCACCCCCCCCTTCCCACTGGCGAGGTTTCCGTCCCAAGAAGGGAAGGAAATTGCTGCAAGGCCCTGCCCTGCTCCCAGGACTCAGGGCTGGGGAAACATGGAAGCAAGGGAAGATAGTTCTGCTGGAGATCACAGGGTGGAGGCAGGAGCGAAGAGCCCTGGAAGCCGCCTTGGAGAGCAAGGTCCTATGCCAAGTTGTCACCCCCTGCAGGACTCTGTTACCTCACTCACTCTCAACCCCCAAGGATCCCCAGAACCAGAGGATGGAAGCACAGGATTCTTGTGAGGAAAAAAAAAAGGGCCCAGGGCCTATCAGCGCCCCCATCTGGCACTGCTAGTTGCTAGCTGCCCTGGCTCTATTTGGGGGTTGTCCCCTATCATCACTATCAGCCCCTGTCTGACCAGGGGCTGAGTCACACCTATGAGGCCCTGACAGTCCTCAAAGAGAGGGTCCGGCCACATCAATGTCCTTCCCTGCCCTACCTCTCTACTCTTGGCCCCAGGACAGGACGTAACTGAGTCTCAGAGGGCATAAGTGGCCCACCTCAGCCCCTGCCTCCCAGTGGCACCAGGGATGGGCCCTTCACCCTGCAAGAAAGCAAAGCACACACATCCTGCCTGGTTTCTCCTATCCCCTTAGAGCACAGCCATGCGAGCCTCGTCCCCCATCGAGGCCCAGTGCCTCCTTCTGATGCTCTGAACTCAAACAAAACTGGGGGTTTCTCTCCTCTGGGCCCCCCCTGACCTTCTGGGGTCCCAGGCCAGCCCCAACCACAGAAGAACCTGCCAGTCAGGCCTCCCTCTGTTTCTCTAAAAATACACCCACAGGAAGCCCCCTCCCAGGTCTTCCTGCGGCCCCAGAGCCTGAAATAGCAGAGGGGGAAGGCTCCACCCAAGGACAAGGTGGGTCACCCCATCCTGAAGATAAGGCCTGAGGGTGAAGTTTTCCACAGGAAGGTGAACATACCATTTGTGTCTAAATCAATGGATAAACGCCTGGGGGGAGGGGCGCATCCTGGGAGGGGTGTGGGATGCCCAGGAAGGAGGGAGACCCCAACGCTCAGGCCTGGGAGGGGCCCAGCCAGTACAACATCCCAGGACCCTCCTGAGATCATGAATCTGAACCTCAGACCCTCTATTCCAGCCTTCAGTGGCCCCAGGGCAAAATGCAAACTACCAGGCCTAGCACCAAGGTCCTGAGACAATGCCCCCTCCTCCTTTTAGAACAAACAGCTCAGGCCTGTGCTCCAGGTCACAGGCATAGGACAAGGCAGATGTTGTGATCCCCTGCACATCCAGAAACATCAGATCTCACACCTCCACTGGGTTTTTAAAGTGGGATCTGGGGAACCCCTGGGCTTGAACCCCCTGAAGGGATTTATTTTTCTTTAAAAATAAAAAAGAGAGCCAAGACAGATGTGGCTCAGGCGTGCTTGGGTGTCATCCCATAAAATGAAGGGTCCAGGTTCGATCCCTGGTCAGGGCGCATGCCTGGGTTGCAGGTTCTGTCCCCTATGTGCGAGAGGCAACCAATCGTTTCTCTCATGCATTGACACTTCTCTCCCTCTCTTTCTCCCCGCATTCCCCTCTCTCTAAAAATAAATAAAATCTTTTAAAAATAAAAAAGTGAAAAAGGACAGGAGAGACAATAACATGGGATTTTCAGGAGGGAGGAACAAGCAGCCCCAGGCTCTTCCTCCCGGCCTCCAGGAGCTTCCCAGGTAGGGTCACCTCCCCCAAGGGATATCCCTTAAGCCAGTGGTCCCCAAGCCCCGGGCCTCATACCTGTCCTGGTCCGTGGCCTGTTAGGAACCTACCGAACGGCAGGAGGTGAGCGGTGGGCAAGCAAGCAAAGTTCGCTTTCATTACCTTAGCTCCACTTCCTGTCCGCTCCACCCCCCAGAGAAAAATTGTCTTACACGAAATTCATCCCTGGTGCCAAAAAGGTTGGGGACCACAGCCCTGGAACAGCCTCCTACCCCATGAATTCTTTTCCAGCTCTCCAGTCTTGGGGATGAGATAGGGGACGTGCCACCAGACCATCAGATGAGGACTCAGCTTAGAGAGCCTCCTCAGCTGCCCCCAACCATACAATACCCACAGAGAATGGCCAGCCCCTATCCCTCAAGGCCTTCACAGAACAAGCAGACACAAGGGCAGAGCCACAGACAGACACCAGACACAGGCAAAGAGCTGGACATCCCAGCGGCCCCTCCCTGGGTTGAGTTCCTTACCCCCTAGACCAGGGAGGGGGCCTTGTCAGAGCGGCCCCTCCCTAGATCAGGTGTCTCCAAGCATTCTGGAAGAGGGCCAGGGGCCAAGGACCAGGCTGCCCTGATCCTAACCAGCTTAAAACAGTCTGAGGGCAGAAAGAGTGTAGCCAAGCGGGTAGTCACCAGGGGCAAAGAAGGGCCCTGAGCGGTGGAAGAGTCTGAGACAGAGACTTCTGGAGGTGACCAGAAACAGAGACTGTTATCAAGAGGCCAAGGTGGTTCCGGAAGAAGCCAGGGTGGTCCCTGTGGGCAGAATCTGCAATACCTTCTGGCCATCCTTGGAGCCAAGGCTGCCTGCATGTGTCCAGACCAGCTTTGGCTCCCAGAAGTCGTGGGCAGGCGGAAGACCTTGCTGGGCCATCTCCTCAGTGCAGGTCAGCTGTCGTCGGCGCAGCTCCTCATCCGTCTCCTTGTCTACCACCAGCAGCCGGGTCTGCCCTTCCACAGCCTTGATCCTCTGCACCACCTGGGACACGCAGGTGGGAGTGGGTCAGCAGCCAGCTCTCTGGGCAGTACACGGATGGTGGCGCCGCTTAAGGCTGGCACGTCTCGTGGGCAGGCGGCTGGCCTACTAGGGGTGGGTGGCTGGACCAAGAAGCCTGTCAGCTCCACCCCCTACTCCCAGGCTCCAGCAGTCCCTCCCTCCTCTGCTGGTGCTCCTGACACTAGGGCCCAGGCTGCAAGTGCTGCAGTGTGGTCCCAGGGCCTTGCCTCAGCCCAGGCTCTTCTCCAAGAAGAGACAGGAAGCTGGGTGAGGCAGCTGTGCAGGTATGCACCTCTCTGTTCCAGGGTCTGTCTCTCAGTCTGGGTTTGAGAGAGAGAGTGTCTCCTGGGTGTCAGTCTGGGTGTGCCTATGCCCATTTCTGTCTTTCTCAGTGGGACAGCATGGAAGTCTAAAACCCTGCATCTAGGCTGTCCGTTTGTTCCAAACCATGATCACAGACCCATTCCTGCTGGACCTGCAGAAGGAGAAAGCCTGGGTTCTTGGCAAGGCACCTACTCAAGAATCATACATGGAACAGGAACAGGATTTAAACCCAGAAGGCGGAGGCGGGGAGGGGCAGGATCATCTGCGGGACAAGTGTGGCATGTGACCACCTGCACGTTTATGCAGGTGCCTATGAAGTGCCTAGAGCAAATGGGTGGCCATGGGGCATGCATGCCAGGGTGGTGTGCCTTCCAGAGAGGAGGAGCAACTGCCCACTTGGCACTGGGGTAGGAAGGGTAACATCCTCATTCCCATTCCAAGGCCTTGGGGAAGGCAAACAAGAGGCCCCCATCAGCTGCCTGGCAGAATTTGTCAACAGAAGGGAGAAACCAGACCCGCGTTTTCCTCGGCCCTCCTCTGCCCCTCTTTACTCCCTGTGCAGCAGGACCCCAGCACCCTACTGCTTCCCAACTGTGGTACCCAAAGGAGTCACTCAATATCTCCAAGCATCAGTTTTTTCATCTGTAAGATGGGAGCTGTAACTGTACATCCTCCCCTCTGGGGCAGTGGGAGGGTCCCATGGGGTCCTGAGTATGGAGTTCTTAGACCAGCACCCAGAGGCCTGGGACAAGCAGGGGAAAAAGTGGCAGTGACTGTTAAACAGTGGCTAGGTGCCAGGTTTGCGAGCCCCTTCCTGTGCCCTGTGAGGTCAAGCCCTCTGGCCCTGACGCCCACCAGTAAACAGCCTTATCAGGTTGACATTCTGGGTGGACGACTGGACAGCAGACAGGTGGATCGACAAGGGCCAAGCAGCTCTGTTCACGGGCCAGCCAAGGACCAATATATTAATCTCTAGGCCCCTGGACTGAACACCCGAACGGGTCATGGACACGCGGATGCTGTGGAGACACAGGGGAACCTGAGCAGGAGTGGCTGTACCCAAACCAGGTGAATCACCAGCCAGTGAGAGATGGACAGCCCCCCGGGGGTCAGAACCTGCAGAGACCAGACACTCTGCCCTCCCTCTGGCCTTTATCTCCAGCTGCAGGAGGCAGGGACTTCGGCCTGGTGACCCCTGCAGGGCCAGGCAGCCTCCAAGGAGAGGAAGATACTGCCACCACCAGTGATTCCCACTGGGGCCCAGACACCATCAGCCAGGAGTCCCACAACAACACTGGCTGCCAACACACATGGACAACTACACACAAACAGGCGGGTCAACACACAAGCCTCGACACACACACACAGTGCAGCTCTCACTCACATCCAGGAGTACAGATCTGTCCACACACATACACACACACCTAGGGTGCAGACTTGTATATTCACATGCACAGTCCAGCCCACACTTACTGATGCAGGCACACAAAAATGTGCCCTTACAGTGACACATAGTGCGCACATGGGTGACCCTCAGAGGGACCTGGACACTCACATACATACGCGGTTGTGTACACGTGCATGTATACACACATAGAAAAGCACCCAGGGCACTCCTTTGCACGGAGACCTCCCCAGCGTGCCCCACATCTCTATACTTGGTACACTGGGGCCAGAGTAAGCCTAAAGAGAGATTAGCCGAGGAGCCGCAGTGCGGGCTCCTCCCTGCCAGGATTTCCCTCCGCCGTGCAGGATCGAGCTAGGTGGGAGGGTACTAGGAAGGAGGCCAGCGGCCGCTGCCTCCGTGGCTACGTCCCCCATCTCCCGGAGCGGGGGGCACGCAGGCCCTGGTGAGACCCCCTCCTGGCCCGCAGCAAAGAGCTGAGGCCTGGGCACAGGCAGCACTGGGCCGGGGCGCAGGCACCCACCTGGTGATGCGTTTCGCCCTCCACGTTGACGCCGTTGACCTCGACCAGGCGGTCTCCAGCGCGCAGCTCGGCCGCCTCGGCCGGGGAGCCTGGCTCCACGCGGCGAATGAACTGCCCGCGACGGCCCTTCTCGCCGTGCAGGTGGAAGCCGTAGCCGTGCTCGCCACGCACCAGGCAGCATAGGCGCGGCCGCAGCGGCTCTGGAGTGGCCATGGCGCCGGCTACCCACTGGCCGGCCACGGCACTCACAGCCGCCGCCAGCAAGCAGGGGCGCGGGGTGACGCTGGAGACCCAGCGGCGGCTTCCGCGGCTCTGGCTCGGCTCCCGTCGCCTCGGGCTTGGGCTGGAGCTCCGGCTGCGACACCGCCCCCGCACCGCCCCTTCCCCGCCCCCTCCGCCCCGCGCTGTGTCCAAGCCCTCCCGGCCTCGCCCCTGTGTCGGCACCCCGCCAGCTCACGGGAGCCTGGGGGAAGGCAGCAGGAACGGAGGGTTCAGAATCACTGGGACCCCGTGTTTGCCGCCACTTTGGGCAGCCTCCTCGGCGTCAACGCCTTTGCTTCCTGTTCCAGGCACATTTATTGAGCACCTATTGCAAGCAGGGTACTGCACAAAGACAGGTTCTTGAGGTGGGAGGGAGGAATGGAGGAAGGGTCCTAGGGCTGAGGAGTCCCATTCAAGGATCAGAGGGTAACAAGGGCCGCGAGCTCTGCCACCCTCCTTGGGAAGCACCACCAGCACCACTGTTCATGTGTCTGGATCTCTCCTGCACAAACAGGTGCCCTGGCCCAGCTCAGAGTCCCAGAATAGTCCAGGGGGCAAAAAAGAGGGGTTTGAAAGTGACATGACAGCAGCCCCTCCCCATCTACTGAAGGCCAGTGACCAAGTGACTCCCTGGCCCTCCCCAGGAGTGTTTGCCCTAATCTGCGCTCTGTGTCCATTAAACATTCCCCCATCATCCCTTCCCTGTGCCAGGGCCCCTCACTCATGACCCGACCCGTTGTCAGAGACTGAAATGATGGAAGGGTGAAGTAAGAAAATATGCTTCTCTGGCTGGGATGAGAAGGTCTTGGTCCTCCCTCCCAACAATCCTGACTTGGGATGAAATGTGCTGTGGTCTTTGGCCTCTGAGTGCTGGCCTGTGGTCAGCACTCACAGGACCTGTTTCCATGAGCAGGAACCAGGGTATCTACCCTCCTCTGCCTTCAGCCCTCCCCTCCCTCCCCACTCCCCTCTCCTCTACCTCCTGGAAGCAAGAGTGTCCCCTTCCCCTAACCAAACAATAATAATCACAATGGAGAATCATTTATGCTTTGTCGTGCCTCCGACTGCATTATACCTTTATAATATACCCTTGAGACCCTTGTAGTATACCCTTGAGACTCAGGCCATTTTACTGATCAGGACACTTAGTGTGGAGAAGGAAGGGACCCAGGCCAGGCTCTCCGGCTCCTATTGGGCCCAGGACTGTGAGATTCCAAGTCCACACTTGTCACAGCCTCAGATACAAAAAAAGAGCTGGTTGCAGGCTCCCCCTCAATGTACCCATCCCCACCCAGCACATACCTGGTCCCCAGGAGTCAGGCACAGCCAACCCAAACAATTCCCCATGAGGGCAGGGGCAGGCTCTGTTCAGGCCCAGTCCTTGCTGCTACTTCTCTCTCCAGTGCACTCAGCCTGGACTCCCAGCCCTCACCCAAGCTCAGGCCCCGCCCAGGGCAGAAGCCCCTTGGGTGTCCACACCCCAGCTGCTGCCCCTAAAAACCACTTAGGCCAAAGCTGCACAGCTAGTCACCACCCCCACTTCTGAGTTCCTGGCTGATGCTGCCATAGGCTGCCATCTGGATGACCACCTCCATCTGTCTGTTTGCCTGTCCAGAGGCTGCCTGCCTGGCGTGTGACTGGCTTCCCTGGACTCAACAGGGCTGCGAGAATGGGCGTGGGCAGTGAGATCCACCATATACCACCCCAAGGGGTAACCCCAGAGCAACAAGGACCACCCAAGGCCTGCCAGTCTGTAGTTTTGGCGTCACCCAGAGTTGAGGGAGGTGGCCGAATGGGAGACCACCAGACAAAGTAGCAGCCCCGGGTTCCCTGGGTCAGAATGCTTGCAGACTCCCTCCCCGACCCTCCCTATCTGCCTTGGGCCCTTTTGCCTTCCACAGCAAAGGACTCAGCCTGTGAGCAAAGACTGATGGGAACAACACAGTTGGAGGGAGGGGTAACAGGGCTTGTGGTCACAGCCAAGAACCAAGCACAAACACTGCATCTCAGAATAACAAAGGAGGCCACAAAGTCCGGGAAATACTAGGGAAGGTAACAGAATAACAAAATGGGGTGGGTAACAACAACAAATAAATAAAGGCCCAGGAAAGAACTGCAGGTAAAAATTCCAAAGGGGGAACAGGCATGAGTGAGTGGGAGCAGGGTCAGTGTGTAGAGCCTGAAGTAACAGCCGTGAGGAAGAGCGACCAGCAGCTTTCCTGGGCAAACTCTCCCTCGCGCTTCCTCCAGCCTCCGGGCTCCAGAGCTGTAATGGAGGTGAGACGCAGAAAAAGAGGCAAAGGTTGAGGGCCAGAAATGTGGACTGAAAGGCGTCCAGGGACTGTGAACTGTTTGTGGTCGCTGGCGAAGGGGTAGAGGAGGTGGGCGCTGAGGCCGGCAGCAGGCAGGAAGTATTGTCGGAGGTGGTCTGGGCGATCCCCAACCCCACGCCCTCACCCACTCCTGCCATCTAGCTAGGCAGGTCTTGCGACAGAGGGCGTGGAGACCTTTCGGGCTCTCCTAACCTGGGCAGAGGGTTCACCTTGGGTAAGGGGGGGCTTTCCTCTGAGCTCTGAGCCCAGCTCCCTGCTGCAATATCCGAGCGATGGGCGGAGCCTGGGCCTGGGAGGAGACTTAGGGAGTAGCAGTGGGCAGAAGCCTGGATTCTGAGGATGGGTTCTTGCCCGTGTGTGGGGTGAAGCCATTTGTCCGACGCCCGGGTAATGGCAGAGAGCTTCCTCGGCCGGCGCCGCCTCCCTCCCTAATAGGCTCTAATGGCCCCGTGGGATAACCAGGACCTCAGGCTTACGACTCCTTCCTCCGACGACACCAGGCCTCTCTTCTGAGCCCGAAATTGGAGCAGGCGGGACCCCGGTGACGGGAAGACATCGGAACGAGACCCAGGGGAGAGAGGGAGAGAGGAGGACCTCTGAGTGCCAAAGAGAGAGAAGATTCAGGAAACCCCCCGAGGGCGCCCGTGCTCCGCCCACCCTGCTCTGGCCCCGCCCACGACCCACCCCAGTCCCTCCCATTGCCGGAGGCGCGGAGCGGGGCGGCAGCCCGGAGGCGCGGCGCCGCAGTGCCACCTGCTGGCTCTGGGTGGGATTGCATCGCCCGAAGGGCAGCCCTAGGTCCCACCCCTCTGGCTCTGGTTCTGGCTCTGGCTCTGGCTCTGGCTCTGTCCAGCCCTACCAAGCGAGGATAGGAGTGAGGTCGGCGCACTAGGGCCGCTTGCAATACAGGAGATAAGGGTGTTATGAGGGCGGTAGGCAAAGAAGCCGAGCCCCTAATCAGCTATGCTTTCTCAGCTTGGATCTAGCACCAACCTCCCTGGACTGGGGTACCTTAGGCAACATGAAATCTGGCCCTTCATCAAGTGTTCCAAATATTTGCTCACAGGACTTGTGACCAAATATTTGCTAGCCACTTGGTGTGAAATGCTGGTGAGGACCGGGGAAACATCTCTGAGACCCATGGAAACAAGGATTTCTGTAACTTGGCAAGCCCAGGTTTGGGCAGCCTCAAGGAAGGACATTTAATCCCACCTGGAGCCCATGGGTCCTTCAGGGTGGGCCATAGTGCTGGAACCTGCCCAGAGTATGCAAGCTGTGTGAGGAGGGAAAGAAGCACTGAGAGTGAGAGACAGGTCCAGCCCTGTGGCCAGACCCAGAGATGGGATTCGTCCCACCAATGGTCAGGAGCCATTTTAATATGTATTGGGTGAAACAAAGTCAGGAAACCTATGATTTGAAAGGTCAAGTTTGAGGAGGCATGAGGGTAGGAGTGAGCTCGGGGGGTTAGAAAGAGGACCCAAAGGGTCTGGGACCACCCCTTCTGCGAGTGCAGATCCTGGGGGGGAAAAAAGCTGGGTGGAATCAGGGTAAATAAATTCAGGGTAAGAACTGAGAGAGCAGAGTAAAAATGAGCACCCACATTAGGGGACCATGTGCAGAGGATGAATCCAGGAGAAGCAATTGCCAGTGAGGAGAGATGAGGGCTTCTAGAGCAGTGTATGGGGGCAGTGTAAGGACTGGTTCCACATGGACATCCCAAAGCAGACAGACATGGGACCACCCCTCCTCCAGTCCTTGCTGGGTGTCCTTAGGGGAAACCTTGCCACATAACCAAGGAAAGACTACAAGAGCAGACAGCATCAGAGCACAGTACCCAGGCACTAGGAGGGTCCAGGACAGTTGTGGGAGTCTGAGCCCATACTGAAAAGAGTTGAAGAGGAAGCAGGAGGGTGGAAGGGCCCAAATACTTGTAAGACAGGAGCTGCACAGGGGCCCAGGTGCAAGGTGGGCACAGCACATTACATGGGGGTGGGAGTCAGCACTGGAGCCAGTAACTGGAAGTGCAGAGGGGGACAAGAGGTGGAGGGTGTCCAAGCAAGGGGCCTGGCAGTGTTGCACTGCGCCACATGCAGTGTGAGCAGCGTGGCCCACTGTGCGGTAGCCGGGATTCACCAGGTGCTTATACCAGGTGCCTGTGGGCAGCAACAGCAGCAGCAGTAATTTGAGCAGTGATCTGCTTACAGGGTCTCCCAGACAAGGAGGCAAGGGGACTCAGATGGAGGGGCTCTTCATACCCAGGGGGAGAGCATGGCTGTGAAGAAGGGGGCAAGGGTTCCCCCTTATTCTCCAGAAGCTTAGGGGAGAAAGGGGTTCCTAGGAGATCCCTGGGAGATGAGGGAAATGTTGGGTGGGCTGCCAGGTCTGCAGGTTCCACCCGCTTGAGGATGATAATCTCCCCAATCCGGCCAGGGGGTGTAGTGAAGGGGCACCCTGCAGGGCTTCCAGGAGGTTGATGTGGACACTTTGGCTCAGTTGGTAAGGTATGAGTTCCTGCTTTCCTCTACACCTTGGTGGATGACAGCAGGACCCAGGGTCTGACTTACCCCTCCTCTGGAGGAGAATCCTTCCCTCCTGGGGGACCCTGGGACCTGGTCTGATGACCCCCACCCCCAAAACAGGAAGGGTAACATTGGCAGAGAAAGGAGAAGGGAACCAAGGCTCAGGCAGTGTTTCTGCCTCTGTCCTCTTCTGCTGTTTTTGGACAG